TTTACTATTCCTTACAGTTCTCTTTAGCTGGCCTAATGATTGCCCGTTGCCACACATGATCTTTTCCATGTCATCGTCGAACACATGCCCAACTCGTTGTTTTTCACTGGTGTTCCACTTGAGCGATGGCCAAGCGCGCCACTTCACTCAACGGTCTACTCATGGCGTATACAACCCATCCCGGTTTCATTCAGAATATTTGCCAAGCAATAGGTTCTTGGTTGGTTTGTTCCCACAGTTGCTTGTTGCTAATTCTTTCTGACTGACCAACGCAGGCGATTACTGACAAAAGTTAATAGCAGGCTGTCGGAAGCGCTTTGTGTGACACTGTAAGTTTCCGGACATCATAGAAGAGGTGATTGACTTACCATTGGTGTCCGAAATCTGAATCACATTCTCTGTGCTGCGTTCAGATGATTTTGCAACTGATTTCAATGCGGCGCGGGTCTGCCTTGCCTTCCCTATAATGCCTGCCTCTAACATCCTCAACCGTTCCGCTTACACTATAATTCAAATGAAAATTCATGATTTTTAAGCCACCGGAATTCGTGAATTGTTATCATCATTTAAAATGATGTATGTATTGTACCTAAGCTTCGCTCACACCCTTGGCTATCTCACTAGATTCCCACGACATCTTAGTATGATAAACATGTAAGATGCTTTCAGTGAACAACTACTCGGCTCTTTGACAATATCAAAACGACTTTGTGAATGATAATCATTGTTTTTAAAGTGGCAACAAAATAAGTGAGTATTTTAAATAGATTAGAAAATAAAAGGATTATTCAAAGTAAACTAACTACATTTTAATGAAAAGGTCAAATCAGTAATCATATTTGGTAGTTTTATTTTTATTACACGAATCGGATGACCAGTCACTTCGATCTTCGAAGATAAACTTTGGCCTACAAGTAAGCATAAACAAAAGGCAACGTATATGCAATGAAGAAAGTAAAATCGAAAGTTAGGAGTGTGTGTGGTTACTTTAGCTCCTTTACTCTGCTTGAATGTCACCTGAAATTCGGCCATAAAATTAAAACTAGCTAGATTTCAGAGTTATCACGTGTAACCTTAGGAGTTTCAACTATCTTTTGAAAGCCGAGCCCTCATTGGTTACCATTAATTTAAATCTATCAGAGAATTTCGCGTTTGTCAGGGTTGCCTGGAACTTACAAGTGTTTTGCATCGCCGTGGACTCTTTTGACTGTTCAGGTATTTGCAGGGATTCGATTGGTTTCAGGATTTCGGCATGAGCTGATATCGTTTAGAGAACTATTGGAAAACCAGTTGAGAATATTGGACAGCTAACTAATTTATCCTAGTTTGGCACAGTGTGGCAGCAATACGCACCCAACACTGGGGCTTGAACCCAAGACCTTACGGTTACAAGGCGAGCTCCTACATCATTAAGCCACTAGGATTCAATTCAATTGACCATGAATTCGGCCAATTCAGGATATAACGCGACTGGCACCAGCCAATGTCATCACTGGAGAGTATTTGTCCTCACCAGACTGCTGTTTGAGAATTATACAAGATCTTGTGTCAATACTTTTCTTACTTCTTCTTTACGCATGGAGGTGTTGTTGTTGAGGTGGTGGTTGACATTGTGCTCCAAAATTAGACAGCGGTTTTCGTTAGCTCATTATGCTCGTATTGCCCTCAGTTCACTATCCTTCATACCAGCTATTGACAGTAAAGCTGGTTATAAATGAGATTGTTTCATCCGAAGTGAAGTTCTCGTCTACCTTGCTAGGAACTCCACTTCGTGTCATTGATAATTTCGTGTCTGTAATATGAATGCGAATGATGAATTGTATAATGACTTAGACAAATCACGAAATGTGATTTCGGAAGCCCTCATTGGTTAATATTTGGAAGTTGAAACGGAAGGTCATATTCCATAAGGTTCATCAGGTGAGGATGAAAGGAATGCTCTATAACGCGAACTGGCAGAAGACAGAGTTCAAGAGTCTTTGAATGCAGCCCGGTGGGTGAAGTGTTAGAAGGATGGTGTCGTAACTTCAAGATCCTGAGTTCGATTCCTGATTGCTTGTAGTTGCGGTTGAGCATGCTGAAGAGCACCAGATTAGGACGAATAACCTGTAAACCCATAGGATTTTACCTCTGTTCCTTGAAATTATCCAAATCACATCAATACAGTGTCTCATCGATGATATTTCACTTTTGTCTTTGTGTCATTTCATAGCCCATTTATTTCAATACACTTAAATGTTTAGGTTTTGTCGCGTTCATGTGGAAATAAAATACCCCCGTTCGATATGGCAATAAGAACAAGTAGTTAAACAAAAGAACTGGCTTTGGCGATTACATTCAATCAACGGTGCAGTCCCAAATACATTCAATTATTTTGCTTGTGAGCTTGTGAATTAGTGTGTTCATCAAATTTCTCATTCAATGCAAGAATAGGAATATTTTTTGTGATACTGCGGAGATCAGCAGACTACTTCAGAACGGTGAAAATTAATCGATATCTGTGAAGATTAGTAAGTTCAGACTAGTGGTTATGCAATGCAACAAAACAACTGATTAGAACTGCCGGTGTTAATCGGTGGAGCATTGAGATATGTATTGGAAATATTTATTTTCCGATACGAATTTAAAACAAGCAGCAAATGTAATTAAAAGAGCAGGATTAATTGAATTCATCGAATTTCGGTAGAACTACGTTTCAGCTGGATACTCTACTTACAGTGATATAATACATTACATCACGGACATGATGTAGACACTGTTAAGTCATTGGCTGTTGTTAGCAGGCGAACAAACAGGAAGATGCTTGCAGTTGTGAAGACTTGTGCAATTAATGTTTATAAACCAGGTCTCTGTGTACAAAAGGAAATGGTGATCATTCTGAATCTACCATGGTTATCTGTTTTACTTATTGACTGTTATTATTACTATTAATATTTCGTTGTAACTGTCATTATTACTACTTTTTTTGTTTTCCTTCACGTTCCGCAGTGGAACATAGGGCTTCAAGCTAGTGACTTGAAGTTTCTGTAGCAGTGTTTATTTTACAGGATGGGGTTGCTAGCCTCATGTCCATCCTTCTCTCTTCACCAGCATTATTTCTGGCTTAGCGAGGTAAAGGAGTGCGTCGGCCGGGGATCGAACCCCGGACCATGTGCATGGTCGGCGAGCGTCCTAACCGCTATGCCACCGACGCACTACTATTGGTGGATGGTGACTACCACTGGAATCCAGAATGCGCGTTTCGTCCTACTTGGGACTCGTTAGCTGGATGTACCTGCATTCCTCAGTGAGTGACGATGTTCCTACTGAGGCTCGAACCCAGTGCCCATAGTTTCAAACACCAAAGCGTTATCCACTAGACCACTTGGGCCACTATTACTATTTCTGATTTATTGAAAACTACCTCCTATCATTACCATTAACTCAACTCCTTTCAACATTATTATTACTGAGTATTAATATTACTATCATCATTATTACCGTTGCTGTTAACAGCATTACGGCTGTCATCAATATTATTTAGTTCACAATTCTTGATATCTATTCAAGTTCTCGCAATCACTGATTGCCAATTGTTTGTTACAAGGTGATCTAACTGAACCATAGTGCACTTTATCCTAATTTTCTATCCCTGTGTGTAGGGTATACAACTGAAGAGGTGTTCTGTCGAAGTTTGAGGAATTCACTAAATCCTGCTTCAGTTACCATTGTTGTTTATTTTCCATTGAGCTTACTGTTGAGACAAATCGCGGAAAACATTAACAGAATCAATCACAGGAAGTTTGGACATAATTACAAATTCAGTGATTATCAATACGTTGATGCCACTGATACTTTTCTGTTATGTTGTTAGAAACATTTATCTCCGTATACGAATTCAAATTAAACAAGGAAGGTTAATAAAGCAGGATCCAATGAATTCATTAAACTTTGGTAGACCTCTTCACCTGAATACTCTACTCTATTCTAATGGTGCATTCATCCTTCTATGTAGAGTATTCGGATGAAAGAGCTCTACCAAGATATAATGAATTCTTTAAATGCTGCTCTGTTATATGGTTACTAGCAGATGAATTGTCTCACCGAAATTTCTCATCTCAAAGAATTAAAGGAGCTTGTGTAGTTCTTCTGTTTCTGAAAAAACAATAGAAATGCGACAAGACGTTTACCAGTGTCATGACATTCACATTTACATTTATAGATTGTTTACAGAAGTCCTTTCTATTCAGCTCTGCAATTTAAAATAATAATAACAAATTTAGCAAAGAAACATTCTGATTTCCTCCATCAGTTCCGTATCGTACCGAACAGACAGAATATCAGGTGAACACTGACTGAGCTTTTGAAGTTGTTTATCTTATTTCACCCGACCTTTCATGTGTTCTACAAGTAAGACGTCTACGGAGAATAGAGTCATTCAGATGCATAAGCCCGGCATTTTATTCAGAAGCGATTCGTACAACACTTCCCTTCACAGTGACCATTCACGTAATATATATAAAGTTTCACAAATGACTCCTATTCTCGTAAGTGACATTTGACATTGTCATTTTATTCCCTTACATTATTCTGATTACTATTCAAGCCCATTTAAGTAACTTATTTGCATCTTGGCACTATTGCGTAATGAATTCATCTATTCTGCTAAGTCATCGTTATGTTACAAATGATTGAGTGTGCAATAACTTGCTGCTAACATCTGCAAGTTAACTGGTCTTTAAATCTGTAATCCTTTTCATGCTTCTTACACCTTTAGAGTGATAATTCCTACAGACAATGAACACCACATTATTAGTGTGATTTCGATGCATAAATACACATATTCGTGTAGAGCTGTTGGTGCAGAACCATTTGAAGAGGAATATATTTCTGAGTGCTAAATTTGTTAATGTTGTCGCCTGATTCTTTCAAATACTTTAGCTTCCTGGCGTGACAGTAAGCGAGTAAGACGTTCTGCCTTCAATAATGACAGAATGCTAGTGATTAAGCGATTTATTGCGTTACCATGCTAAGCATTGTGACAAAGAGTCAGTCAAATCAGGTATAACTTCAAAGAGCTCAACCACATTGAAGTGAAACAACTTCCATTCAGGTTTTGACATTGCTTCAAATTGACTAGAAAGTTCTAAAGATTGATGCGACGGGTTTCCACCGGTGTATACTTGGCGCTTGTGCTTGATCTCATGTTTGATAATCACCGTATAACGCCAATCGCATAGTGTAGCCTCAATTTCTTTCATTGCTACGCGAAACCTTAGTGCATTTCTATTTAGAACTGTGTAATGAATTGACACAACACACTGATGAAATATATCCCACTACATTTCTACACAGTGTGCGCAGGTGTTCAGCTAAATCCGTGGACTATTGACTGTGTTATCTCAGACAATTTTGAAACACATTCATCTTCAATTTGGCATACTTTCGAAATCCACATTTCAGGCGCTTGAGCAGGGAGGTTTTCATACAAAATACTACCTTATATTAATAATTATAGTGAAACAGTTGAATCGTTCATTTACTTGGATAGTTCGTTTTCGATAAGGTGACTACCAATAAAAAACTATCACTGAGAAGAGAAAAACAACTCACTTCAGTGTTGATGTGTTGTGTGAAGTGATATGAAAATCTTGATTTTCCTTCTAGTTCCGATTTCCAACACCAACTTCAAGACCGACCAGTCAAACTACTTGCATTCTTAATCATTTCAAAGATAACTAGTCAAATGGCTTTCCCTATCTATATAAGAGCTAATCATTTATAATGTTTCCCGGACGAAATGGAAAGATTATTCAAGGGAAACAAACGTTCGCAAAGATAAAGTTACCTTCGTCTGTTTCCTGAAGAGAAATAAAAAATGGTAGAATTATTATTCTGACTAACATATGCATGAAAATATCGTAACACACCTGTTTCACCGTGTTATTCTGTTCGTGAAAATTATCAGTAGAATCTCGAAACGCACGGCTCATCTTATCTGAAACTCGTAAACTTGTTCCCACAGAGATTCGAACTCAACACCGAACTTTTTTTGGCGTGTCTTCCACTAGCTCAATGAATCAGCTGACGATTCTCAAATAGGCTGATGCGTGGCGACTGAATTCCACTACCATCAACCATCAACAAAACAACCTCATGCATACGTAGATTATTTGGACCAAGAATTAAACATTCATAATCCTACTTTTTGAAGGACTAATATTACATGAGCTAAATATCCTAGATATGTATAATATATTTTTGTAGTGATAATCGCTCCATGGCGAAAGATCTTGTTCATGGGACACGACTTTAAATGGAACGAAATGCTCCAGTTTGCATGCAGCCACATATTGCATTAAATCACGTTAATCGTATGCTGTCATTGTTTTATCATCCATCATAGGAGACAACACATCAACACGGACCGATTCTCTTCGACTAGATTGATTAGTAAATTTGGGAAATTCAATGGGTAATCCTAATAATATAACGATTTCAACAGCTGTTTAGAGCTGATTTCTCAAAATTACACTGCTAGCAGAAGCATGTCAACACTTATATTAAATTTGATATATATCGAAACACAAAATTCTAACACACTATGTACAAAATATTGCCAAAACGCCTTTCGGAAGTTATGCATTCGAGGATTATATCGTGTTATTGCAACAGCTTAGGAAAAAAAGCATTTGAACTGTGAATTGTTGGACGTGAAGAAAGATACACGCATAATATTTATCTTTCTTTATGCATGATGAATTCGTGATTGCAAAATGAAAACCATAAGTGTAAGTTACCTCTAGTTCGATTATTCCTTCGTGATTGAGAAGTGCCTGAAAGTAACAGGACATGCATACAAAGTGTTGATAAAGAATGGATGTCATGAAATGTTTTACTAAAATTCTCTGTTATTTCTCCAGCCTGATTTCTGTTTAAGGAAAGCAACTTCAAATTAGTCGCTTGTTTACTTCTCTATTCCTTTACGTTCTGAATAAAGCACAGGGCTTCAAGTAGATGGCTTTTGAAGTTTTTGTAGCAGTGCCTACATTTTAGTGGGTGGGTGGAAGGTTGCGAGCCAAACGCTCAAACTTCTCCTTCTTCACTGGGCTTACTGTCATGCACAGAACATGAAGTGTAGACTGCTATGCATAGAAATGCTTGTCTACATTTATTCATTGAAAGAATTCATCATACGAAGCGAAATCCTGACTGTCGGAGGTAGACGTGATGAATGTAAGTTGGTCTTGGAGAGATCAAAGCACGACCAGGGGATTAATCAATGAAATAATCAACGTCACTCTTAATACCGATGAAGACCCAAATGACCAAAGAGGAGGGAAATTACGGATTGTAAATTACATAAAATAGAATTAGTATTCAGTGCATTAGAGTAAAACATTGGAGTGATGTTAGAAGTGAAGCACGATATATATAAACATAGATTTTCTATTTTGATTTATGAATTCGTGCATGCGAAATGAAAACTGTCAGTGTAATTTACCTCTAGTTCGATTTCTTCTTCCTAAATGTGAACCTATATAAACGCATAGGTAATCCAAAGAGAGTAATGATAGAGAACGAATATATACGGGGAATATCCTCATATTGTGTAATTTCACTAATTTGATATACATTTAAGCAGATTACGGAATTTACACATTAGAATTATTAAAAGGACGGTGGCAGCGAAAAAGAATTTCTTTTCGACGAAGTCATCAACTAGGCTGTACATTCTTGTATTTATAGGAAATTTTTGTGGGAAAGTTCAACAACTGTTTACTGGGCAACGTTCAAATTAATAAACTTACAAATTGTCATAAGCAGGTAGATCAGATAGAAAACGCAGTAGGATCATAAATACTGAGAAAAGTGACTAATTTTGTGGAGTGCGGTCATAAAAGTGTAGGGATAAACACCACCTGAAAGACAAGCTGTTGCACTAGGCCACTTAAACATGCATATATCAGTTCACTTGCTAATGTGAAGCGGAAACATTGGCTATATAGCGTGCCTCTGCTTGTAAAACACATGATTAGCAAAGGGAGAAGGCAAGGGTGTATATAGTTCAGTTACAGAACATCTGGTGAATGCAGGACATTCAGCTGTATTTGAAAAATCCTTCAAAAGTATATGCAAGATCCGATCAAACCTCTTCAAGAGAGTGAAATCAGGGCATCTGGACAGAGTTTCAGGCACTAGCGATCAAAATGTAAAAAGCCAGGCTGTGTATTCAAAAAGAAAACGGTAAACACTTGTTTCTACGATGACCGTCATAAAATGTCAGTCCTCTCAATAGTGATTCTCCCATTACTTTTCTTATTTAATCTTCCAGTTTATTTCGGTCATTTTCACCTTTATTTAAAAGTCAATATCTGCACTGCCTTATTTTCTAACCAATCTCCCTGACTACTTTGTTATTACTAAACTGGGATTGACTTGCTACCAGGGAAGAATCTCGTTGACTTAGAATATGCGGACGATATAGTCCTTCTAGGCGAGGACGCCGACAAAATGCAGAGTCTACTGAACACCCTGAGCAACAATCTTCGTATGTTTGGCATGCGATTCGCCCCTGTAAAATGCAAGATGATGCTGCAGGATTGGACTTCACTGACCCCTAGATTAGAAATAGGAAGTGAAGTGGTAGAACACGTTGACCGCTTCACTTACTTGGGAAGTACCATCAGCCCCAATGGGTTGATCTCCGACGAAATTTCAGCACGAATACAGAGGGCTAGGTTCGCATTCGCCAGTTTTCGCCGTCTCTGGCGTAGACGCGATATCCGACTATCGACCAAAGGGCGTGTGTACTGCTCAACAGTCCGCTCCGTCCTCCTTTATGGCTGTGAGACCTGGCCATTGAGAGCAGAAGACATGAAAAGATTAGCTGTGTTCGATCATAGGTGTCTGCGTTCTATCTCCCGCGTGAAGTGGTATAATAAGGTGAGCAATATTGAGGTTAGGCGTCGAGTGCTAGGTAAGGCGGGGAAATCAATCGACGAGACTGTGAAATTACATCGACTGAGATGGTTAGGACATGTGCTACGAATGCCTAGTCATCGCCTTCCTCGACGGGCAATGTTAGCTGATATAGGGTCAGGCTGGAAAAGAGCTAGCGGCGGTCAAACGAAAACATGGCACCAATCAATGAAATCCACAACAGTTAATCTAAGCCACGTAGGAAGATGTAGACTTCCTGGTTGGGGCCCTCGGGACAGAAAAAACCAATGGTTGGAAACAATTGGTGACATGGCTCAAAATCGTTCTCAGTGGCGCAGATGCATCCACTCCTTGTGACTTATGATTTCCAATGAAACTATATTGTTCTTCGTTATTACTATTCCTTTGTCTCACACCTCTGTTTACTGTCTATATTATGCATTTCTTCTACTTTCTTCTCTTGCTTTGCGTGCTACATAGATTGTGGCGACTTGAACTGCCGCACATATGTGCAAAGTTCTATGTCGAAAACCGACCGACCGACCGACCTATTACTAAACTGTTACCACCTTATTCCACAAAAATGGGCAATTTTCTCAGTCAATGTGATCCTACTAAGTTTTTTTATTCGATTACCCTGTTTATTACAGTTTGTAATTTTATCGTTTCACCCCTTGACCATAAGTAGTTCTAAAAGTTTCTCAACCATTCAAACCTAAAGGCACAAATGTACAGCCTAGTTGATGACTTCATCGGAAAGGAAACTTTCTTCACTGCATTCGTCACTTGAATACTGAAGCAAGGTAACTTGAAATTAATAAGTAGTTCACTTGTTCGAAATTAGTGTGCATTGATTCAATGAATTCCAGCACTTGATTGTTGAGTATGCATTTTACTAAAATAACGGATTATTTTTTAGAGAATATTGGGATTTATTCAGCAAATGCATACAATCAGAAGAAGAAGTCCTGTCAATCAATATGGTTTGGGTTATTCATTTTGTTAAACAGTTCAGCGTCTACAAGTAGCTAATCAATACCCTTGGCGGTTTCGCTCGCTTTTCATTTCAGTTCACAGATTTCAAGTGAGAATCAAAACGTTGTTGGTTAAAGAATGAGAGAAGACGAGTTTCCCTTGGGAAATTCATACGGAAGACGTAGATTATGAGAAAAGCAGTCACAATCGACAAGAAAAATTGGAAGTGATTTATCGCTTTCAGCTAACTGACTGAGGAATAAATATCCTTCCAACTGAAGGCCACTGATTATGGATGAGGATATTACATGCAACCAGTATAGAAAGAGATAGCAAGGTAAGCATTCGCTACTCTTCATTCATTGTGGATTTCTACGACCCTCACAACAGGAAACAAGACTCATATTTTTGAAACTGATGTCAGGCGAGTATTTCTGTGTGGTTCTCAGATATAGCACTTTATGGAAAGCATTTCCATCAGGCCTTAGAGTTTAACCAACAACTTGCCTCATATGGATATTCGGCCAAGAATAATAAATCACAAGGAAATCAATCCGAGAAGGACTACTGCACATTTGATTTCGCTATCAATTCTCTGTTTTCTGTCAGTCTTCTACTTCCATGAAAAAAATATTTCTATTTTGCAATTTGAAATGTTTAAGAATGAAATGTTGTTGTGCTGTTTATGGAGTGAATACTTCCACAAAGGCGTCGTGTATCACTGCATAAGTTGACAATACTGAAGAAAGCGGTATTCTAACACACACACGCACGACATTTCTCTCAGAGTGGATTTCATTCCATAGAACATGAAGTGTAGACTGCTATGCATAAAAATACTTGTCTGCATTTATTCATTAAGAAAGTTCATCTTACGTGGGGTAGTTGTCACTGGTGGAGGAGGAGGAGGCGATACATCTGATTTGGCGATAAATAGATCAAAGCACAACCAGGGGATTAATCAGCTCGATAATCAATGTCGTCGTTGTTAATATTCATGAAATGTTATATTTATAAAACTTTAGGGGAATATAGGCTGTGAATTACATAATATTAACGAGTAGTTTTATTATGTTTTGTGATACACTGAGTTTGAAATTGAGTAGAGACACAGAAGCTGGGCTTGGATGCGCCAGTTACAAATCTTGCTTGACTACGCTTACAGCATCGCAAGTCTACTACCTGTTTCCTCGGTCTGCTCAGCTTAAGCCGGAACGCAGAACCAAGTCAGATGGAAAAGTATATTTAACAAAATCCCTATAAGTGTAAGCATACCAAGATGAACATATACATATGACCGATGGTGTTGTGTGATTGCATATAAACACAGGAGGATATTTCCTGGCCAGGGATGTAGGTGTGAGAGAAAATATCCAGATCGACCTTCACCCAATCTCAACATAAACATGTGACATCTCTGACTACATATCAATCCGTAACAATACTAGTATGTGATGACTAAGTGTATAGTGTATTAAACTTGAATAATGCTCAACTTTGGACCGATTAAGCAATTCATTCCACCGTGTCACAGATTCCTTTTACTCCCAGTTATCTAAAATAAAACACCCAGCTATTTAGAAATTGTTGGTTTGCACGGATTTTGAATAGATTTCAATTCTTAAATTGTAGTCACGAAATGGCATAAGTTATAACGATCAATTAGCAGCGGTTTCGACGCAATTTGGCTGTCTTCATCAGTGCACAACCATGACCCTATCAAATTCAAACCCCCTAACCTCCAGGTTACCAGGCGAAGGTTGTCTATCATTCAGCCAGTCGTGCTGGAATTCAATGAACCCTGAATTCAAACTTTGTCAAGTTGTGACATAACACTAACCACACCAATGCCTTTGATGAGCATCTAGTTCGACTTGACATGGTGGAGGCTACTGGTCATCACGTCCTACTGCATCTTCAGGAGATCCGTCGAGTTGCCAACAATCAGTTGGCAATTGGTTGATTCAGATTAAAGGATTTCCTAGCTATTTCCTATACACTATATTGACTCTGATTTCAGAAAGCAGGCTAATGCCTATTTGAACACAACTGCATGCATAACAACGACAGAAAAGCGTAATCAATTGCATTTCTTTACTTCTGAGTCATTCATAATGTAAAACGATTGAGTGATGTAGACACTATGGAATCCTCTGTGAATCCACAAAGAAAAGAGTGAAATATGACTAATCAATTGCGTTTATTCTTCAGAAGATTGACAGAAAGAGAGAGAGAGGAGATGTCCATGAACAAGTTATCAGAACACAACACAACATACCTAAATGTGATAGATCAATTGTATCTCCGGAGTCTAATGTAAAAACGTAAATCGATAAGAATTTATCCTTTAAAAAGCCATTACAAGATAACAAATGAATAAATTGTCACACACATCAAATCGTTATGTTCACTAAGGCTAATAATGAGCTTGTAGAGAAACTTTCATTGTCTTTTTGAAGAGAATGTCTTCAGCGTTAGCTTCCGTGCATGCAGTGACCATCGATAAAGTATTCATCTGTCCATATGGCCGTCACTCCCCTTGGTCGCTTATATAGTTCTTGTTACCAAAGTTATCAGTTTCTTTGATAGTGATTCTTTCATCAACCTGATATTCGATCATTCGATCGTGTGATCGATTTCTAATTAACTGATGACTTCATTATTGTTCTACTTGGAATTGAAGGTCTCTGATCTAAGGATTTTCAGTAGAATGGCCATTATGTTTTTTAAAGGGGTGGCATTATTAGCCTCACTCACGACATTCAACCTTCCCTATTTCCTCAGATCTTATAACTGGCTAAGCGAAGTTAAGGGGTGCATCGATTAGGACTTCAACGCCAGACTACTACTGAGCCACTGGCACACACACACAGTTGATAAGTTTGAATAAAATTCAAATTTGTATTAACTAAAACTACCAAAAGACCAAATACACACGGTCGAAAAGAGGATTAATATTGGTGGGTAAATCATTACACGATTTACGGGGACACCTAATCGTAGTGAAGTTAACCAGGAGAAACACATATTTTACCACTGAGGACAGACGAGATCTCACTTTGTGTTAGAGTCAGCACTGAACATGCAGTCTAGGTAGACAGGGAAATTTCTGCAGTGTAACCACTCAGCCCAGAGCTCAACAACAACATCAAATTAAAATCGTCCGCGTGAACTGAAAATCTCAACTGCTATTTCTTAACTCACTGCATTTCCTATGAGCAAGTTTTCATTACATTGGTGAGTGTTATTCACAATGTGAAGTAATTCCATGAAGAATGTCATTGGTCATAGAAAGGTTTAAAATAACACTTTGACTTAACCTCCGCACATCACTACGCACCTTGGCAATAGTTTATATATAAACACATTGGCGTTTTCCTGACGAGAATTATTACTGTTATATAACTATTACTATTAGTACTACTCCGATTGAGTTTCAAGTGAAACAGGACAAAAGCAGCACATCTCTGCAATTCTCTCATGTTGGCTTCACGATTGCCCATACGCTTTCATCACCTCTTCAGATCATCTACTCCACGTCACTTAGATGGTCGCTTTCACTCGTCAATCTCCTAGATGTGTGTTCGGTTGATATTTGCCATTCACCAGTTTATTAGTCGGTTCTTTGCATTTCACACTCTTCTGTTGCCAATTCTTTCTTCCCGGACGTCTTATTTCCAGTACGGTGCCAGCGAAGACATTTGTTGCTCAGATACTGAAATGGCCTGTTGACAATGGTTATCGTGACGCACTGAGTCTGTGGATCTTAGAGTTGCACTGACTAGACGAATTATTTGCGGTTGTCGTATTATTTTAATGTGTATTCTCATTTCTATTCTGTTCCGATTGGCCCAGACAACCTTCAAAATGGTACGGAATTTCCAATTCCCCACGCCTGCTTTTGCACTAATTGAAAGAAGACATACTGATTGGAAGGCTTTCAAAGGCCTGCATCATCCATCCTGAAAATGGCGATTCTTCCTGAATTTAGTTGAGAATAAGTTAATGTGTGCGTGCTCAGCAGTTTCTCTAGTCAGCGGAGGTTTTCCATAAGTTGGGTTGGTTTGCAAAGCGACAGATCTTCCATCATTTATGGTTTTGTGACCTTTTGGTGCGTCAAAAGAGGAAAGCGAGTTGGACTAAACAAATGATAAGCGAAAGTTGTATGACGAAATTGATACTCAACTTGACTAAAGATGCGAAGTGACCAGTCAAATGTCCTGTGGTAACATGGAGGAGATCATGTGAATAGGTGATGGAAGCTTTTCAGCAGTCTTGAAGCTACCTGAAAGTCATGCGAGAGAATCGATTGTGACTAGGATATATCACTGAAACCCCATGCATCAATCGCAACGGAAAGAATGAATAATATTACTATAATAATATCAATATTTTATGAGTGGCTACGTCTGTGAGGATAAAAACAGCAAACCAGAATCCCTTGGAAGACACTTTCGTCAATAAATTAGCGTGTTGAGACATTTTAAAATATTGGTAGTAGTACGTATACACATGTTTACTCTATGTGTGGTTATGAGAATTGGAAAAAGTGGCTTCCAGAATAATAATAATAATAGTAATATGAATAACAATGAAAAAAGCGAATATCAATGGGAATTCTTCATCATACGTGTTGGTCCTTCGATTTCGAAATATTGCAATCCGTCTACAACAAAATGGCATTATTTGATGTAGGTGTGTATTGCATAATACTGTTCTCCTCAGTGGTATACGAATTCAAATTACACCAAACTGACGAATGCATAGAATATTAAATGAAGATTTCCTTGCATAACTGAAAATTTGGCAGATGGAATCCAGTAAACATCACCAACACACGTAGAACTAGGCTCATGAGGCTTCCTACACTCAATTTGTGGTGAGAGCTGGCTGCTAGCCAAAGTTAGTAGACAGTAATTGACGTCAATGTTTATGTCCCCGATATTGGTGGTGAGAAAATGAGAACAAAGGCCTTGCGTAGGCGGATACATTTAGCATATGGATGATCTGATACAGCCACAAAGAGGTGCAAGGTTAACTTTCAGTGAGAAACAACCAATCAAAAGACTGTATTTTCTACTAACAATAATCTATAATAATGTACATTAAAATCTATAAATATGTGTTGATTTTCCTTAATAAACGATATGTTGCCTGGCCCTTGTCTTCTGTTGTTATAAATTTATCCATGACACTCCTACAGGATGTCAAAGATAAACTAAAATAGCTCAGGTGTAAAACTCTTGAGTGCTCACTCACTGACTGTGCTTTAAATGTAGAATTCCACGTACACACTTTGCCACACTCCATGTAGCATACTGAGGTAGAGAAAAGATTACATGGGAGCAGTAATCAACGGAAGTGTACATCAGAATGAATAAGCATGTAGACACTAGTACGAGTTTGATGGATGTGGAAGATGGCATCTGCTCAATTGAGGATGATTCTAAGCCACGTCAACAAAAGACCCAAGCTATTGGATCGTAGAATATTCAGGACCCACGCCGGGTAACGTTCACCCCCTTTACTGGCTCAAAAAAACTGTCCTCGATTAAAGGATTGACACCATGTTTTGATTTGGTTATTCCTATCCAATCATATGTCAGCTAATATGGTTCGTCGAGGAAAGCAACAGGTTTGCATGACTTCCCTTCCTTACCTAATACTCCACGGTTAACCTCAATATAACTCAATATATCATGTGAATTACCAGGCGAGACAGGACAGAAATATCAAATGTTGAGGAGAGCTAACTTGTCCAAGTCTTCCCCTTTCAATGTCTACTTCTTAGAGTCATAAGGAAGGAGATAAGGAATATAGACGAGTTGGTTTCCCTAAATTTAGTTTCTCCTGGAACCTACGCATGATTGCCGAGCCTGTATTAGACAAGCTTATTCGTCTCCGCCCACCTAAAGTGATTATCGGGATTCCACGAATCCCCATAGACAGTTTCCCTGTCTACAAAGAGCGGACAGCAGACATCCTCATTACATGATAAGAACGCGTCTGTTACATTCATCTAACACTTGTTGTATCAAACACGAAAACTTTTCAGGAGTGTAATTCAGTTGGAATTATGTATGTGGATAAGTTGTTATAGTCGTTGGAGCATACTGTGAAGCAGGGTAATATTTACTTGTCCAGTGTAAGAAATCTGTTCAACATCTAGTTTCAGCTTGTTCCGCTTTACAGCAAATCCCTAACTCTGATGAGGTGATAACTGTCAATATAAACTGTTTCCGTGATAGTGAAGTTCCGTATAGACTTTTATCTGTCGCCTATGTGAAAATGCTCTTCAATGATTTGTTATTATTGAAATCATTAACTAAACGTTGTGCTCACTTGGAGTTTGAACCCAAAATCCTAAAAGAAATTTTTTCAAAGTTTTAGTGTATTTTCTCCTCTACATTGTGATATCAGAGAAGAAATACGACGAAAACAATCACACCGTGCACATACATACAATCATCAGAATACCCTTCCTTCCTTGAGTAGCAATCACCGTTGCCATATTAAAGGTAGCCATTCCTGTAATCCAGGTTGCACTTACTCAAATGGCTATACCAGTAATCTCAATTGTTCTAAGCAACAGAGACTTATTGACTGGATGCGTGAGGAGTGAGAATGAATTGCAGGGTGATGAGTTGATGTTATTTCGACCTTGTCATAGATGGACTTTATTGGAGTAAAATGACCGACTTCAGTCAATAGGCAATAATCAACAGCAGCCTCGGTATGTAGAAAGTGAGTTTTACGCGCTGTGTGGTTCAAGTGCAAAATTAATGGAATATAATTGACGATAGTGGAGGAGCACACGAGCTGAGCGTAATTTTGTTATCACTGACTTTATCCTGATTAAAGTGAAGATAAACATTGCAGTAGAGTGACATTTCTGAACACTCTTAATGACGCATTTTCGAGTGTTGTCAAGTTCTGTGCAAGTGGATAGTTAAGTCCCGATACTTTTATTTCCATTCTAGACAACAACAACAACAACAAGAAGTTCGAGCGTCAACTTCAGGATGGATGTAGTGTACTTTTGCTGCTAGGATAAATGAAATCAGGTATTCCTCAGTGACATAACATGAGAATTTATTAAAACAAGCTTACCGATAGTCCCAATGTAGTGTGTATTATTGTGTTCTGTGTTGGAATAGAATAAAAGAGCAGCATAGATGGTGAATGAAATGAAATTAATTCAAGTGAACAGAAAGTCAGTCCGAGCTTAAAACAAAAATAGTCCTCTCAATAAATTGCAAATTTCATAATATTACAGTTATGCGAGAAGTTAATTGTCATCATAATAACAACAATGACCACAACAACAACAACAGCAATAGAGCAGCCATGTGTGCGGTGGATTCACTTGAGGAAAGGTGATGACGAGAATGTTGTGCAATTGCCTGAGTATACAAAAGGATGTTCACTTCCTGTTTAGTAATGAAATGTAAAGATAGGTTGGTTGACTACTGTTTGAAGTGTTCATTGGGTCCTATATTTGTGGATAAATTTCTGGTGAAGCATGAAGATAGTTGGTTGAAAGATGAAACAGTGAAATCAGAACTGCACTTCACTTGAATGTTACTTTTGAAATCTATGAATAACATCTGTGTAATGAAAGGCCGTCAGGGATCCGACGGCGAAGGTGGTCGTGCTGGGGATGTTGCTGGGAGGTAATTGTGAGACAGAGCTTCCACTGATTCTACTGGCACATAGTGTATCCACCCGGAAAACAAAAAAGTAATCACCATTTCAGTTGATGTCGAGGAGGAAACCATGACTAGCAATACACAGAACAACCTGGCTTCTCCATCTTGAGAGAAATATGACGACGCTGCGAACGGTTCGGGAAGAAGCTGTCAGGAATGTAAATTGTCAACAAAAGTGAGAGATGTTTTCATACAGCACAAGGCATACTGGGATTCCATTGCGACATTTAACCACTGATATAAATGAGAACATTTTATCCAGGATATTTATGGTCATCGTTCAGTGGGTTTCTCCTGTTGACTCCGATTTCAAATGATGTTTTACTTGGTCTTCATTCTTCCTCGAGCATATACCGTTTCACAAATTCTTGTAGTCCAAGTTAAATATAGGACGACAATTAAGAAGACTCGTTTACTGACTTTAGAACACTGATCAGCCTTATTCATATGAATCTAAGAGCCCAACAGCTTCACACTTGAGAGACACAGGATGTCGTATAGATGCTCACATAGCCTCCACATTCTACACATAGGCAACATCGTGTATAGTTCGCTTGTGCCGTTATCCACGAAGTTGAAGCTATTGTAATAATGGTTCGCCAGTTCAGATTTCTGTATTCATAAAGAACGCTTTCAGATTTCAAATTGATGACCGTCTTAAAAGGCTGAATAAGATTTCCTCCTCACAGCAAGAGATTTCATTTTCCCTCGACTTTTCTCTATTCTCCTGATCTCATTTTGTCTTAGTCCACAGTTTTACTGAGTGTTTGATGGCTTACACTCTGCATTGTCACATACTTCTACCACTATCCAGTTCTCCAGATAGCAGAAAGCTTTCTCAATTTAGTATTCATGATAACAGTCGCACCAATTCATTTATTTCACATGTTTATTTTTTCATGATGAACTGTCTGGTGCATACCGACTACCTTCTAATTAACGTGTGCTACAGTTGTGTAATAGCTGCCGAATAGAAGGCAGCAGTGCAAAAGTTTGTCAGAAGGAGAATGATATTTGATCATCTAAACCTCCAGCAGAAACTACACCAGAATTACTCACCTAATCTCAAATTGTTTGCGTTTATGTCGATATTTTAAATGAGGTTCGCAAAAAAAAATAGTGTATTATGACATCACCTAAATTGTGTCATGTTTAAGCACCTTATACGGAAAGACGTTTTCTCTTGTGTTGCTGTATACATGTATATGTAGGTATGTGAAATTCGACAAGGTCATTTGTAAATTTTAAAAAAATGCTGAAATCAGGATGTGTACAGGAACATTCACTTACCATCAAGATCTGCATTTGTATCATTGGCTGAAATGAAATTAGTAACACTAATAATAATAATAATATTAATAATAATAACCAAATTATTCTGAACACAATGTTAACAGAATATACAGAATATCCAGAATGACGTATTGAATGATAATTCCCTTCATCGAAGATCAATGTCCGACTAAAACTGCAATCTACAGTACATCATGTGACACAGTGCTGTTCTATTCGAGGCATATACCAATCCCTAATGATACGTTTCTTTCATTTTCAGAAATGCGCACAGACAGTTAGGAAGACAAAACACCAATTGTCTCAGTAGAAAACAAGAGCCTTCATAAAAGAAAGTTTATTTGCTGTTGGATTTATGCATATAGGGAATTATGTATGTATAGCTTCTATTGACGTCGACATTCGCACAAAACTTCCACTGTATGCTACATCTACATTTCGTGTAGTGTTTTCTTAACTCCTCTCCATATCCCCCATTTTTCACCGAAGTACACTGGTTAATTTATTCTCTTCAATGTCAAACATATCTCTCCACTATTCGATATCTTCTGTGCCTGTGAACGTGTCTTTGTATTATTATTATTGTTTCCTTTAATTCCTAGAGGAAAGTAGGGCTTCAGTCGTGCGTCTCCATTGCGTTCGGTTCTCTGCTAGAGTTTTCACCTGGCTCCATGTCTGCCCACACGTTTTCATCTCCTCTTCACATGACCTCCTCCAAGTCACCCTTGCACTGACGACCAACTCGCCGCCTTTTTTTTGGGTTCCATTCGAGCAATGGCTTGTCTAGTGATGTCACTTGATGGTTTCCTCAGAGTATGGTCAACCAATCCATCTCCATTTCTTTCTGCATATTTGTTTCACTGTCGGTTTCTGGTTGGTTCACTCCCAGAGATCCCTGTTGCTGATCTTTTCTAGCCTTCCATCTGACCTTGAGTATTGAGTGAAGACAACTGTTAATGAAGGTCTGTAGTTTGTTTGAGATGCTCTTTGTGACGCGCCAAGTCTCTGATCCGTATAGTAGCACTGACTTCACATTGGAGTTTAAAATCCGGATCTTATTTTTGATGTTGAGTGCTGCTGACCTCCACACAAACTTGAGAGTAGTGAAAGCTTGTCTTACTTTTCCGATTCTTGCTTTGATATCCTCGTCAGTTCCGTCTGCCTGTAGTTGAAACGATGCTTCCCAGGTAGGTAGGTAAAGGAGGTTGTTTCTTTCAGGCTCCTTCCATTTATGCTGATCGTTGTCTGTTGTTGTTGTTCTTGTCCAGGAATCTTCATTACCTCTATTTTCTCTATGTTCACTTGAAGGAAGTCCTGTCTTTGATACTCCTTCTGCCAACTTGTTGCTTTTCATTTGCATATCTTCCAGTTTGTGGGAAATCAGACATATATCATCGGCGAAGTTCAGATCCTCCAAGTTTTTGTGTGAGTTCATATTATACCTGTTTCCTCATTGCCCGCTGTTTGTTGCACTATCCAGTTTACTGCAATCAGGAAAATCATTGGTGATAGTAGGCAGCCTTATCTTACTCCTGTCCTTACTTCGAAGGATTCCGTAAGTTTCCCGTTGTGGAATACTTGGCATGCAGCATTGTCGTACAGCTGTTTGATGATATGTATAATTGTCGGCGGCACCCCATAGTAGCGAATTAGTTGCCAAAGCACCTCTCGACCAACGCTGTCGAAGGCCTTTTCAAAGGCGATGAGGTTGAGATAGAGTGTTTTTATATACTGCTGATAAATCTCGTCAGCAGCACACGTCACAATGTGATCACAGCATAAATGTGAAATATTTCACAGGAAATAAGGCATGGTTGAAAATGTGAGTAGGTGAACTGCTCCAGACTAGAAAGAAACTAATTTTGAAGGCCACTGATTGAAGGCTGAGTTCACTTGCGTCTTGCTCCTAGCTCTGTAGACATTTTCATAACTAGCTGTTAGACAAAATAAAACGGACTGCAAGCATACATGCGTTCCGTGTGAGTATGCAGACAACACATGACGGAAAGTAGATAAAACCATAGTTCCTTTAGTAATGAAGCATGTCGTCAACAACTCCGAAAATGCTTCATACACATCCTTCCCAACTGTTCGTCAGATATCTTATCTAGACGAATATTAACATCAAACCTTATTGTAGGCTATTATCGACAACACCGAATTCCCCTCCGAATTCACTTCGTGTAATCTTCCCGCATACTCGGCTGACCATGAGTTAATTGTAGAGAAAATGGTGCTGCTGTTCACATTTTGTGCAAAACGCTTCCATACTACTCACACATCAATTTTGTCTACTTCAAACACACTCAAAACCCACGCACATACAAATACTATATCAAGCAAATAATCGATATCATATTATTCAGCATATTCAATCCACTTCATTTCATACACCATCAACATTTGTAGTCGTACAACAGCACAACTGTATGTCATATGCGTATTTAATTAACAAAACAAAATACGACCTTGACATTTCATTGTAATGCCAACTACTTTTGAAATGTGGAATGTTGAAAGAAAGAGAAGAAAGCACAATGACTTGTTGTCATTCACCGTTATCTGAGGTGAAGCTGGTCACAGATGTCGCAGTGAATGTAGATACTGGTGTAAAAATCAATTGGTGGTAGGAGCCTTTGATGTATCATTCTTGTGTGAATTTGAATAAGGTGAACATAAAGACAGACAGACGGAGAGTCTGATTCTCGTGTTCTACTATGATATCGACTATGCACAATAAGATTCAGAGAAAATAAGCTGCGTTGTGTTTTAGTAACGGAAATACAGGTGGACCAGTGATCGAAGTTGTTTGCCAACGAGGAAGCGATGGATTGTCAAATAAGTCATCTCACACATTCAGAGAAGGTATTCTGTTTTATCCAAGACATCAGTGGATTTCTCTCCAGTAAGCTAGAGCCATAACAACAATCGATGCATCAAATCAAATGTCTGAGTGAACCGTGAATTCTCAAACACCGGAATTGCCTAAATTACGGTAAAAGTACATGATATGCGGTCAGAAGTAAACATCAAGGGCAAGGTCAGATGAAGAATAGAAAGTGACAGTCAGTCAGAAGATCGTGAAAGGTTAAGATGAACTGTACGCCAAAATCTATTTGACCATTGTAAAACAGTTGTGAGTGACGATGTTTACTGTTTATACAATAAGTGAGATCATTTTCAATGGAAATCAATAACTGTGGACTTGGAGTAACGAAAGGACACCTTATCAGACTACCAGAAATGGGTGACTAGACCATTTGCGAGAACTGACAAGTAATTACGCTCCTATCCACGCTAAGCAAAATACTCAGTCGCGTCATCCTGTAGAGACTGAGAGATGCTCTGGATGCAGAACTCCTCATGGAACAATCCTAATTAATTAAGGAGAAGCAAGTGGTATGTGGATGATGGTGCAACTCTGCCCATCCTCATCAAACACAGCATAGAATGCTAGTTAGTCAAATATCTGCTTCAACTTCAACAATTTCGAGAAGGCCTACAACAGAGTTCATCATGTAATAATTTGGAAACTGCTTCAACACTACGGAATAACCGAAACATTTCTCTACTTCATTCAACAACAGACACATTATGGTGCCAGCGACGGAGAACACAGCCAAGTGTCTACCGTGAAGAGAGAAGTAATATGACGATGCCTACTGTCACTGATGATATTCCCAATTGTGTTGGACTGGATCAAAAAGAAGACCGTAGAGTGTGAGAAGACGTGCATAATCTGGACCAGAAGAAGGACTCTAGAGAATTTACGGTTGAAAACTAACAAGTTGTCCGGAGAGGAGGTCAGCAACAACAGTCAAACTTAGAGAAGATAGTGTTAATGAAGATACCTAAGTACTGGTAGAAGGCACCAACACCATCATCAGGAGAAAATTGAATGCGATCACTTCTTCCACTTATCTAGGTAGCATCTTTTCACCTACAGACAGTGTTGAAATCCACCACACCAAACATTAAGAACAAAATTTGGAATTCCGGCAGTAATCTCAAGTCATTTCTCTCATATGGGTCAGAAAATGGGCAGAGGCATCACGAAGAAAATTCCTACAGACTTCAGACATCCATCAACAGCTGACGTCTTTGGCTACATTCTGACGATCAGATGCCCAGGAATGACAGAAAAAGAAACTCTGGGGACGAGCCAATCACGAATCTATTACCCAAGGTGAAATGGAGGAAGATCGAACACACCCTGAGGAGACGATTGAGCGACATGACGTATCAGGCCATCGTTCGATTGGAACTCGGTCGGGAGACTGCGGGTTGAGCAAGGGTGAGATGGTGACATGAAGGAGATTGTGTCAAGTGGAGCTGAGAGCTTATGAACAGTTATGGAGCTAGCTGAAGAGGTCATCAGAAAACGAGAAAAAGTGGAAGTAAACTTTTGAAGTCCCATGCTCTACTCTAAACCCGAGGAAGTGATAATGATAATCATAATTGAGTTAAGAAACAGTGAGAAAAGCAGCAACGCATATCAGGCTTTACTACTACGTAGTATAGAGTTAAACACAAATGAGACACTAAAAGAGTATGAATGAGAACGTCTTGATTATGCAGATAAGTAGTGCAAGTGATACGGCTGCTTCTCTTCAGAGATGAACGGTTTATATGTGAAGACTTCATTTCCCATTCGGACAACTCCTTCGGTGTAAAGAAAGCAAAAGCTCTTCCTTATACACATCCTGAGTGTAGTTGCTTTTGTGCTTCAACTATATATTCCACACCAATCATGGTTTCTCACAGTAGTGTGACACTTCTTGTGGGCAGCATTTCAGTAGATTGTTGATTCGATATATATGTCACTTTCCAAGTTAGGTTATGAACTGACCTCAACTAGCTGTATAACATGAAGTCAGTCAAACTCCGAAAATCCACTGGTTCTTAAGTCGATGTCAGCTCATGATGAAAACCTGCGACAAATCGATTTCCTACCAACCAACGCGAATAATTTCTTCGTGTTTCTTCATCAGGACACGATACAATACTGCTTAAACAGGATCTTTGGGAGATATGATAGCCTAATAAAGAACCCATGAATCTCACAGTATTTCTATTATATGCCTTTGCGTGATTTACAAATGAAGACTGTTATATTTCCTGGTTAACATACGATGTGAGCAAATACATAATTAAAGATGAAATGCATATTTGAATCACTCAGGGTTATTCGGTTATCACTTGGGGGTTCCGTTTTCTGAGCTACGAGACCTACCTATCTACCAGGTGACCAGAAGGCATTAGTTATATCTCGTGGGGATGAGCGATGTATAAACATCCATTCAAAATCTTCTACCATTCAGATTCTCACTTCATCTGTAAATCTTTGCCCATAACATCATTAAACGTCCATCAACTCGAAGCTATTTTGGGCACTCTTTCCATTAGTTACCACCCTATTTGCATCACGCATTCTATGATTACAGTTGACCGTTGAAGACCTAGTTGAGCAACCATTGTGACGAAAAACAGACCATTATGTGTCATCGATTCACTCTGACAGCTGGCTACTATTCGTGTTGCCCGCAGTGTAGAATTTACTTGTTCACAACTGAAATCAAGATGACTTCATGTTATGTGGATGTATTTATCTCCACACAAACTCTCATTCATTTCGTGGCATTCTACTTCATTCTCTTGCATTATGATCATTAATTGTTATCCTCATTATCATTGTTAATCGTAAAATATTTAATTTTGTCTTACCGCTGCTCAGGACATACGGATATATTCCTGAAGGAAGACGTAAGACAAACACGTAGGTCAAATAAATATCAAAAACATCAGAATATCATCTGTCGACATCAATCTCAAATAGAATGAAGCAAGAACAATGGCAGTTTATGCAGAAAAACCTGTTAACATCATTTATTTTTGTAGACTTGTCTCTCATAGGAGTTACAAAATAAAGGCAAGAGGTTAAAGTCAAAGGTCGCGTTACCAAGTGAAAAGGAGAGTGAAGAAATCCAGTTACCATGCAGTGCAAGTACAGACTGATAACTGCCTCTTTCTCACCACATAAGTTGGGTTTTAGTCGTTGGTTAGAGAATTTCAGAAGAAGTGAAATATTTGTTTCCTTTGATAATTCAAGGACACTCCTGACAATGTTACTAGTGGAAACGTTCATTTCTTTGAGACGAAGGCACTTTGGTACATGTTCTAAAATTTGAAGATGTGCCCTTCCTTCACTTCTGCCAGTTTAACTATGTCCTACTGCGGATACGTGAAAATCTGCACATACAGAGTTAATATGAAAGGGTTATCTGTCTACTTTCGACATTAGAGACTTCACAACTTCCGTACTTAGAAATGAATCTCTGAGGGTAACTGTCGTTACTCAATATATCTTCTCCCTCTAATCTGTCTGTAGAGCATACTCCTTCCACTCTACACAACAGCATTTTGACTAGCGCTCGTTTACAGCTATGTTGACAAAAACAAATAAAATGCAGAGTAACATCGTGGTATCATCTTATTCTGCACAGACTGTTGTTCTCGCTTTATTCAAATTCTTAAAGAGGAATCTGAATTAGACTGGGCAGATTTTCGAGGCAAGTAGCATCAGAAGACTGAAATAAAGATTCGTTCAATTTTTGGAATATATTTGTTAACTTAAAGTTAAATGTTCTGCTTCTGATTCAGAAACTTCTGCTCTTTAACAGAATGTAGTTTCAGTAATTAAATAGACACAATTTCAAATTTCTTAGGACAGGATCAGATGTATTGAGGGTCAGTGTTTCTCCCATGATCTGTAAATTTCACAGTATAAGTTAGTATGCCACTAGCTACAACATCTCGTCATACTGCCTCCACGCTGCAACCATAAATCTTAGCCTTCTCAGTCAGCTTTCTGTGTCCACCTCAGTGCAGGAATAACAGCAGAATTACAAGCTGTATATTGTCAACCATTGAACTGTCAAAAAAAGGGAACACAAACCCTATATCGTCTTGTCTACAACTAGACTAAGCTCTAGAAAATATAAGATGTACATGTAGAACGCACTGTTTGAGCTGTTACAACTATATGATGCCATTTTTTATCGATCGTAATTCCTCGGATGATTGGTATTTCCAAGCCTAAGGGAAAAAAATAAAGCCTAACCTGTGTCTCGTGAATGACATTCATCGACTTTTATCCGAAGAAATTACTTCAGAACTGTACTGCTGAGTGTTTTCAGTCAAAAGTCATAGTTTACTGGTGGCTTACTAATTTGGTTATTGATGGTATGTGTTTATTATTATTATTATTATTATCATGTAATAGACGTATTATGAAATTTTCTCAAGTAGGTAGCTGCTTGTAAGGACGGTGAATAGGTGGTAGTTTCATTTATCAAATATCTACTCCCTAGAAAGCCACAATATGTGCTACTCTGGTTTATGGTCGCATCTCTGACGAGTCGCGTAAACAGGATACTGCAAATTTAGCCTGGCCATTCAGTGTATGAATGACTGTGGAGACAAATGATCGAGGTAACTGCTTACTTGTGCATATATATATATATATACATAAATAATAATAAAAATAATAGTGAGAATTAACCTCTGAGGATAGATGGCGCCTATGTCGTTACGATACAGAATGCGAATCTGAGCAGTTGTGTGCTCTTAAAGAAGCCTAGTATCTATGCTCAGTTCACCTGATAACTAATTCAATTTTATAACACTCTCAATGAATACACCAGCATTCCAGTGTTAGGAAAGGGTGACTGCGAATCGTTCATTGTGTCAGCTTTGTTAAATTCGATCATATAAAAATATACTGTGGATAACGCTTGAACAGCAAGAGATGATGCATGAAATTGTGCTTCCCACACTTATGCATATACCCTCTGTGTATTTTAATTTACATATATATGAACAATGTTGCATTAATGACTTACCGACTAGTCCCATCGTCACCAAATATGATGTAATCAGGAGTACGGAGCAGGAACCCATCGTGATCTTCTGGTTGTTGTTCTTTGCAGGAATAATCTATTTTTGATCTCTCTTTAAAGGCTTGAAAATATGATCACTTTCACTAAACACCAACCAAAGAGAAGAGATGCTTTCAACTGTCCATCACGTATGTCTATGGTTGTAGTCATTTCACCAATAACAATGTGAGCATACACAAAACGCATTGATTCGACAACAGTGAAATAGTGGTGGTGATGATCGGATGATTTATATAAGTCAGCTATGCATAAATTAAGGTTTATATTTGTTTTCAGTAGTGTGATATGAATCTACGATGATTTCATTTAGGAATATGAAGAATAATTGAGAACACAATCCACAGTCAAGGTAAATACGATTACCGTTGGATGAAACAATCCATAAATTGACATTGTGAAAGAAACAAGCGAATTTTCCTGTAACTGGTTAGTCTGATTGGATAGAATAAAGCGAGAACAAAGAATTCCGTATATTGAATAGCGCTCATTTCGCTTCATAGCTCTTTTTTCAGCTTTTAATAACGTGAAAGTTGCACAATTTATTATAAATTGATGGCACACTGTGAAATAAAGTCAACGAAGAGGATATTAAATAATTGTCAGTATAAAAGCTATGCAGAAGAGATCTGAGTATTACTACTGTTCACTCCTTGAGTTCTGAGTAGAATATCATGTTCCAGAAGAACATCCTCATTCCACTCAGCTCTTCCACTGCTTCCACGTTTATCTAATTGCCGTCATGGCAGCCCACACATGAAACTCTTCATTTCACGTTTGTACACTTGACTCTTTGCATAGTATTTGAGTTTCACTCGGAAGGCAAGCGTGTGATACTCGTTGAAAGTATCCTCGTCTCATATCCAATCCACCTCAATTTCCTTCTGTTTATGTGTTCACCGTTAGTTTGTTAGTTGATTCGCTGCCTCTACGAGTTCCTTGTTGCTTATGCGTCCTGGCTGACTATCTGATCTTCAGTATTGAGCCAACAAAGGCATGTATTGATGAGCGTCCACAGCAGTGTTTGTGTGTGTGCGTGTGAAATGCTTCTTTCGACAAGCCAAGTCCCTGAACCACAAAGAAACACTGACTTCAAAGTTCAGATCGTGAGCCGCGGATGACAGTCTGTATTTCTTCCCAACAACTTGTGATTTGCCGTGACATAGCGTAATGCCTGACCACCTTCAACGACGTTTCCTTCCAATTGTTCAAGTTTGTCATCAATACTGTCTTTAGCATTGATCTTCCTGTCATGCGGCAAAAATGCTGCAAAATGTATCCATTTATTCTGTCAACATCACTTCTCACCGGATTCATCTTTACAAAGACCTGTCGGCTCTCCTTGTGAGTAGCACATCAAGGTAAGTTATTTCATTTCCTTCATCATTTATCTAGCCAGTTATGAGAAGAACCTTTCTGTAGCATTTCATGATGTCAGTTATCATTCGACTGGACTTTCCTTCAAAATTTTATGAACATTATTGAAATACAACAGTGAATCGGACTCATCTAAAATAGGCTTCCCCGAATGATTTAGACTCAGTGTTGACTACATTCATACAGTCATTTCCTAAATACATTAAACTTTACCGTTTTTTTACTTTCAGTCGAAGAATATTTCTGATATTCTCACCGAAAACTGATCCGTTGTAATTAGGACTATTGTGGAATAATCCGTATTCGGTTCAGCTCTCAGTATACTGATAAGTTAATTACTCTGATCTTAAGAACAGAAATAGTGCCATGTCAGTGGACAACTAGCCCCTAAGCTGCTTTTACTGTCGCAATAGAATTGTGTCTAATTACGTCAATCCACTTTCTTCCGACGATCGAATTGGATTATGTTTGGCTGCTGGACGTCTTCTCAAGTTTATATATTCTGCGGAAATGTGTGAATGAATTTTGAATCACTCATCAGATTTTTAGGCGTTCTCATGAATAATTCCAATAGCGCAGGCAAATATTCGCTGATGACATTCAGTAGCAGGAAGGTTAACCGGTGGGTTAAAATGAGTAGGAAAACATAGAATATTGGAATTTGAAACGCTGAATCCGCGGTAGTTTTGTGGTGTGTACTGCATAAAATGTTTATCTGAGAAAAAGAAGACATAATATTTTTCTTTTTCCATTTTCCAGGCAGTGTTTATACAGTGTTGTGTTTGGCCACATTCAAAACACTTGTCTCTTCTGACGCTAATTTTTAGCCTCGCAGCTACTTTTGGCTGCAAATCTGTGATTTCGTGGTCCCACTGGTTCACTCTAGGTGGCTCTGTTGTGGCTACCGTTGTGCTCGAAAGCCGTTTTGTCACCTTTGCTGGCTCACTAACGTCCATAAGTTGTGCAGCGTTAACCAGTTGCAGTTGCTGAGGAATGACATCTGGGACACTCTCGATGCACTGGGGAGTGAATAACTGTGACTATGACAGTTAAGTCAGTGTGAGAAGTGTGGGATGAAGTAGATTCGTCAGCTTTGCGACACAGAATAACCTATACCTTTGGCTGCCAAACTCTTCTAGCAATCAATGTCATACATAGAATTACCTTGAACTCTCAGGAGCGTGCCTAGCACAACAGCCGTCACCCTCGGTTGCTTGACCGAAACCGCTCAGTGACAGTATTGAAATGTAGAAAGTTCCTTCGTATGTCCCCTCTTCCGAAAGTAGCAGTACACCGGATCAATACCAAATATTACGGAGAAGACGACGGGCTTGATAACGGTATGGCTATTAGGATTTTGTTATCATTCTTACCAGTAACACACACACACACACCAAATAATAATCCCAACAAAATTGCAATGTTTTGCACTGAAAATATGGTGAAATTGAAAATATCCACTGGTCGACAGCCTGCGACTAAGAATAAATCAGTAATTTCATCATTTTTTGTCCAAGTATTTCATACCTTCAGCAACAACAATCAAACTCATGACGAAATAACGTAGAACTAATTTTGATTTTCACAATTCCAACCACTCGACTGAATTCGACTCATTTCCTGTTATCCGAGGCAAGTTCCGTTGGGTGCTCTGCAAATTCATCCACACAACATCATCTTTGTGTAGATTGTCTGATAAACCACTGATACACCGTTTTCTGCTAGTCTGTAACTATTCTTACATTCACAGATGTCATATTTCCGTGGAACAATGAGTCATATTGACTTCTCCGTTTGGCTTTTCTGACTGTGTACATACGTGCATGTTATACTCTGATTCATTGATACGCTTCCACAGGTTGTGATTATTGAGCTGACAACGTTGAACTGCACTTGATTAACTACTGCTGCTGCTACTACTGTGGTGAGTGCTACTTATAATCCAATATAAGTAGTATATCAGAAGTTACAATAAACGGATATCGTATTTTTCCTGCTCCAATCTCTACAACGCAGTCTGAAACGCCAAGAATGTGCAACGGATGTCCTCCTACCATCTGAACTGCTAATGTGCACGGCATTATTTTCTTCCACTGTTCTCTATCTATCAACGAAACTGCGGCCCCTGTGTCGATCAAACAAACTAGTTCCTTTCGGTTAACCCGCAATCTCCCGTACACTGAACCTCTTTCGACTAATCCGACCACCTCCAAACGCGAGCGAGAAAAAGAAGGAAGACTGTACCGTTTAATGTATTTTTGCCTTCGTTTCGGGCGGTTTCTCTGCCAGTGACCGGTTCCTCCGCAAGCAAAACATCTGTTGTTTGTACATTTCCTTATCTGCATAGCCGCCACCTGTTGTTTCAACTCTTCAATCCGGTCTTCGATCTTCTTGGAATCTTGGCACTCCGTCATCACTGGAGCAACATGCGAAGTCATTATCTGCCTTGTCACCTTGAGCTGCGTTAACTAGCTGCAACTGATGAGCGATATTTGTCGGGATGCATTCGAGGAACTGAGATGCAAGCAACTGCTCCCGTGAATCTTCGTCCAGGGTGGGTAATGCGCGTCGCAGTTGATTCGTCAGCGTTACTGCGAGGACCAACGGATCCCCATCCTGGCCAAGTCTCAGCGTCCGAAACTTCTGCAGCGCCTCTTGTCTGTCCGCAGGGCTGTCGAACTCGCACACGAGCCTCTCGACGACCTTGTCCCACGCCGCCTCACCTTCCAGCTCCCGAGCGTTGTCGTGCGCAGCCTTCGCGCGGCCCCTCAGCATAGTTCCCAAGACAACCAGCTTCGCCTTTTGCTCCTGCACTCCAACCAGCTCCGCGGCAGCTTCGAAATCCCTGAGGAACGTCCGCACATCTCCCTCCTCGAACACTTGAGGCCACGGCACCTTTATCTCCGGCAGAGGCAGCGACACCAAATGTAAAGAAGAAAAGACCGAGGAGGCTGAAAGGAATGTTTATTTGGTGAAACGTATTGTACATAGCTGAATTTGGTATACCATATTTTTTACCTGCCATTTGTACATCACTTACCAAATCCTTGACGAATTGGTCGAATATCGTCACATTCGATAGCTTCTTGGATTCTGCATCATATGGCAACATTCTTCTCATGGTTCTCTTCTTTGATTGCTCTTTCCAGTATGCCAAACATATTGTTACTTTTCTGAATTCGTTTCTGATATACTACTTATATTGGATTATAAGTAGCACTCACCACACTACTACTAATACTATTATTGTGGCGTGTCCTACTGATGAGATGAATGAGTAGTATACGGACACAGATATAAATGTGTGTGTATCATCAGCAGTAATATCAAATATTGGAGAGATGGATTCTATGGCGAGGAGGAGAACTGAATTGTTGACAGTAAGTGAACTTAGTGCTGTTATGCAATTACAAACAGAAATATCTGAAATGTGAAACAGTCGACTAGATCAAAAAAGACTTGTGGATTTTCATGGGCCACTGGATTGGGTCACATACAGTAGCTGGGCTGTGTGTGGTCTACGAGGTCGCCTTGTAACCATTATTATAGCTCCAGTATGAACGCTTTTCACAAGAAATAAGGTGTGATTTTCACTCTGATCACGTATTTGGGCACTGTATACACAAC